GCGCCCTGCCTGCCCGGCTCCCTGCCATTGCCAGGAGGATGGCATCATGCTGTCAGCTGACTGCTCCGAGCTCGGGCTCTCAGTGGTGCCAGGGGACCTGGACCCCCTGACGGCTTACCTGTGAGTACTCACCTGCTCGTTCCTGCTATTCGTGATGGCTGCCTGCCCCACAAACCCCATTTGATGCCCTGGGACATGAGCATCCTAGGAAGGCTCTTGACCCCTTCCCAGTCTAAGATTGAAGGACCGGGGAGCAGAGGAGAGTCCTTAGGAAACTAAGGACAAGGCAAGGAGTGAGCCTGGGCCTCCCTGCTCTTTCCCAGGTACTCTTCACCCTCACAGGCTCAGTGTGGGAGTCCAGGCCTGGCAAAGTGGGGTGTAAACCCTGAGCAAGAAAATGGGAGAACGTGAGGCGGGGAAGCCCCTTCTTTTGCTGTCTTCCCTAGCAGAACAGTGCCCAGGAGGGTTGATGAAGGCATAAGTTACTGCCTTGGTGTGAGGTGAGGGGAGTGTGCCCCCATGGAGTGGAAATGGGTTCCTCACCAAGAAGCAGAACTGTCTCATGGAGGCAGGGGCCTTGGTGCAGGGGGTCCCTGCCACTCTCTCTCTTTAGAAAGGGATTCTGCCAGCACTATCTTCTTGCGTGGAGGTCTCCTGCCCCCTCCCCAGGCCTCCCTGAAATCATGTCCCAGGAGGCTGAGTTAGAGACACTAATTTGTGGGCAGACTCTGAGACCGAAAACCAGAGAGCCATTTTTAGAGTCTGAGTTGGGGTGAGGTGGTGCAGGAAGGGGACCCTACTGGGGGTAGCTGTCACAGAATCAGACAGCCAGAGGCTATAGCTGCTCTCCACCTGGGCAGGAGGAGGTGGGGGCACATCCCAGACCACCTGGCTCCCTCCTGTGTTCTGGGAAGAGGGAACCTCTGGCTTTCTCTGCTTTTCCTCAGAAGGCAGTGAGCAGGTGGAAAAATCTGGGTAGGATTCACAGAGCTCCCTGAGGCCTGGGAGAAGCTTGCTCAACTTTGAGGACCTACACCTGATGAACACCTGAGGAAGAGGGAGTTGGGCTTGTCCCAAAAGACTCAGCAAGGGGCCAGGATGCACTGAGGGGGCAGTGTCCTAGTGAGCGTGGGAGATCCTGATCTAGAGCCCCTAATGGGCCCCCTCTCTCTATGGCCCCCTATCTCTATGGCCCCCTGAGAACTTTACTCCAAAAGACTCAGTTGTGGACTCAAGGGAGTGAGGACTGGGAAACATGGGTATTTCAGAAGGTCAGACAAGTCCTGTCCAGCCCAAGAGGTGGTGGGAGAGGTGAACACAGGAATCCAAAGCAGAGCTGTGAGGGCACCCCAATGCCAGGCAGAGTACAGGGGCTCTGGCCCACCCCTCTACACCCCCAGAAGCCCCATGTCTATCAGTTTTACACATTAGGGATCTAAGATATTGCATCGTTGGAAGATGGGACCAAAGGCTAAAATGAGTTTAGAAGCAACTTCTGTTGAGTCTTCTTTGGGGTCAGAAGAAGAGAAGGTTCTTGTTAGTAGTAAAGGGCAGAGGATACAGGACCTTCCAGAGGGTGGCAGGTCAGGCAACCTTTCTCAGCACCCAAAACATTCTAGATTAATCCATGGGCCTTTTCTGGCAGGACTTGGGGACAGAGGTAAAGAGTTTCTTTGGGGATCCAAGTGTCCCACCACACATGCTGACAGCAGCTCCCTGGCACTCTGACCCAGTGCCCTCTGAGGGTTTCTGAGCTCTTCCTGAGCCCTCCTAGGTGTCAAGAAAAACCTTTTCTTCTAAGGCTCAAGAGTGTTACTGAGGGTAGAAGGGAGTGCTGGGTATGGATTCTGGGGTGATGTGGAGAATTTTATAGCGGCGTTGGAGGGAGGTGGGGAGGACTGTCCCCCTGGCTATGGCTGTGCAGGGTCCCAGGTGGGTGATGGAGGAGAAGGGGTATCTGCTGTCTGCAGATGGCTCAGAGGTGAAGCCTTCCTTCTTTGCTTTCTCAGGAAAGCTGCAAGGGCATTCTCTCTCTCTCTCTCTCTGTGGATCTATGCTGGTGTACATGTGTATGCAGGTGCGTGTGCTGTGTGTGTGGAGCCAAGGGCCAACCTCAGGTATCGCTTCCCAGGAGCTATCTGTGTGTCTGTTGGAGACAGTCAGTATCTTACTAATCTGGAACTCACTGAGTGATCTAGGCTGGCTGGCCAGGGAGTTCAGGGATATCTGCCTGTCTTCACCACCCAGTGCTGGGATTACAAGTGCACACCACCATGCCCACTCTTTTGTAAGACTTCTGGGGTTAGGAACCAGGTCTTCATGTCTGTGCATCAAACATAATACTGTTATGACCACCACCACCTCCCCCAGCTCTGCAAAGGTAGAAAGAGATGGACCTGGAGGATCCAGGGATATCTTGGGGCTCCTTCCCTTCTTGGCAGTCTTAGGACCTGCCTGTGGGTCACAGAAGACACCTTTGGTTCCTCTTATGACTTTCTTGACAGAATCTCAGTTCAAATTACTTGACATCTGCTTCCCATCCTGGAATAGCAAGGTTCCTTCCTAGCCTGCACTTGTCGTGAAGTGGCTGCCTCCATTTCCCTCCAGTCCAGTTTCAGAGGAAACCAGAAAGCCTTTATTTCTATTTATTTGATACACAAGTCCACAACCCCTGAGCACTCTGGGGCCCAGTGCCAGCCCTGTTTAATCAAAGTTACAAGTCATTCATTTATACACAGTTCTTCAAGTGTCTCTAAGAGAGCGCCCCCCACACCCTCATTGGGGGCAAGTTTCACCTAGCACATTTGCTGATTTTGTGTGTCTCCCTGGGTGAGGCCCCTTATGGAAAGGGATGGGAGGAAGGATGGAGCCACTGGCTCTGGGACACTGCAGGGGTGTTGTGAGTGAGAGGTCCCTGTGCTACTCCAGCACATACAAGCACAGAAACATACATGCAGCAAATATTTTCTGGGCGAATAGATCCTGAGTAGGGGAGTCTGGGGATTTACATGGAGTCCCTCGTTTGGGGAGCATGTTCAGGAAACAGGGTTGTAGCTCTGGCTGCAAACACTCAGAGGCTTACACGTGGTGGTGGCCCCCCAAGCGCCCACTTCTTCACTCACTGCTGCCAGGGCTTTCACTCTGTGCCAGGCTGCTCACTGCTTCCTGGGGAATTCACTCCCTTCAAGACTGCTGTGCTAACCAGCGGGTTTGTGCGAAACGTCACCTGTGCGTGTGCTCGTGAACACGCTTGTGTGCATGTGTACACTCACCTGTGTGTAATTCAGGGTAATTAGCGTCCCTCACCATTGCCCAGGGATGTCTGTAACCAAACAGATGGAGACAGGGTATTAGAAGAGAACCGGCTGGGCAGAGGTGGCGCATGCCTTTAATCCCAGCACTTGCACGGCAGAGACAGTGAATTCGAGATCAGCCTAGTCTACAGGACAGGCTTCAAAGCTACACAGGGAAACCCTGTCTAAGAAGGAGAGAAGAAGAGAAAAAGAGAGAGAGAGAGAGAGAGAGAGAGAGAGAGAGAGAGAGAGAACAGAAAGGTTGAGGATGGCATTGGTGTAAAAGGCCGTGCTAGGTGAACCTGGGCAAGTTTATTGGCACCTCTGTGACTTGACTTCCCCTGATTCAAATGGTTGCTGTGTGGATTCACTGAGGTAATGTCTGCAGAGGGTTCGTTATAGGGTCTGGAAAGTGGAAAGAGCAGTGTTTGTGTGTTGACATTAGGGAGCCAGAGTCAGGAGGCAGTTGTCTTAGAAGGCTTCCTGGAGGAGGAGGAGGCCCTAGGGGGAAGCACTGGAAAGAGGAGAAGCAGCCTTCTATGAGAGCTGTAGGGCAAGTCTCTATGTATGTTGAGGGCTGTGGCAGGAGAGCACACTGCCAAGTAGGCAATGAATGGTAGCTACCCTGCGGACCCAAAACGGCTTTACTGCTGCTCTCACCAGCTGGTACAGTCTGAAGACTTCATGCAATGGGAGGAGAGTGACGGGGGTTGTGGGGAGAGCTAGCCTGCCCTCCAGCTTGCCCTGAAGGCTGTTAGATGAGGAAGCAGAAGACCAGTCAGGGAGCATTGGCTCTGGGGAGGGTGTGTTGGGTGTCATTTTATAGGCTATCTTCCTGGTCCAGCCTCTGCTGCCTCCCTAGCAGACTCTGAGATGACATACTTCCGTTGTAAGCTGGAATGTGTAAGTTTCTAGCCCTGAGTCCCTTTGTGGGTGGGAGACCCTAGCTAAATCCTGGGGGTTCTCTGAATTTCTGTGCCCCACATTTGGCTGCAAGCAGGAAAGGAGAGGCATAGAAATCCTGGGTCCTCTGTTACAGCTGCCTCTGGTGTGGAACAGGGGGAGCTCAGCGAGAGGGCTTGACAGTGGGAGGGGAACCGGGGAGGGAGGAGGAGAACCCAGGCAGCAGCACCCAGACCAAAGTGGAGAGGAGAGAGCAAAGGAGGGGTGGAGTAATTCCAGGAAGTGGGGTCCCCAGGGCCCTCCCTTGTTGAAGCCTGGGGGGTTGCTGGAGGAGAGTGACTTTGGGGGGGAGCTGACACCCCAGTTCAAAGGAAAGGCAGGAGACAGCCTTAGGCAAAAAGAAAAAGGAAACCTCTAGGCTCTGGCAGCAGTGGGCATGGGTGCGGCTGGGTGGGGCACTGGCGGGGAAGAAAGCCTGGCTCAGAGAGAGTTGGCCCCCAGCCCACCCAGCACCACCACCTTCCCCCTCCCATGGACTCTCACTCTGGATGGTCCCTTGTGCCACAGCTTACTTCCTGCATTGGCTCAGGCCCACAGGTGACAGACGATGGACAGGGCACAGGAGAAGGTGTCCACATGGGTGCCATTGGGTATTGTTAGGATGCCAGGCTCTGGAGATTGCCAGAGGCAACTCCGACATGGGGGTGGTGTTTCACCCTAGGCCCAAAGTTTCAATTTCTTAACCTAAAATGGAAACACTACTCGTCTATCTAGAAGGGAGGCCCCGGGGGAGCAAAGGGACAGGGGAAGCACGTTTGGCACTTTTCATAACACCGACACTTAAAGAGCATTGACTGTGATGTTTTTGTGTCTCTCAGCACTTTCAACTACAAGTGCCCCATGAGGCCCAGAAGCAGGGATGGT